TTCAATATTTGTGTGGAAGCAGTGAAAAATCTAACCTTCAATCAAATCTTAATGTCCAGAAACTTTTCAATGGCATTGTTCATGTCTAGAAAAATTGCTTTAAACATTGCTATTGCAGTAATTGCTATAAACTTCACAGTTATTGTAAATAATAATGGCATTTTTGTAACTTTGGTTTTAGCTTTGAAATTTGTAGATATAAAGGGAAGCATTTCGAAACTTCCAACAGTGAAACTCTCTCAGATAAATGACTGTACGTCTCTAAATCCATGCCCATTAAAGAGCTTCAGCTGCAACCAGTAAATCTTTGACCACCTTGAACTGTTGCATTATTCCAAATATACGTGTCCGCTGCGATTTACTATATAAAGCTAATGAGGCGCAGTTACACACTGGAATTTTTTCTCCTGCTGTCACTTTGTATTGAAGTCATGTGATTCATAACTACACTCTAAAAATGCTGGGTTGTTTTAACCCAACGTTGGGTCAAATATGGGTCAAATATGGTCAAACCCAAACGTTGGGGTTAAAAATGTAACCGAATGGCTGGGTTTGTCCATATTTGACTCAAGTATTTTGTAGTGTTGTAGAGTGTAGTCGGCTCAAACCTGGCACAGCGACTAGTTAATAACATATGGTGAACGAAGCTGGAATATGAATTTTGATGACTTTGAAAAATTATGGGAAATCTATTTCTGTGTGTGGGAGTTTGTAGACACAAAGACTGGCGTCATGCCACTTACCTGTCAGGTCTCACCCACTCAGGTGCCAAACTCCTGACACACATTTGCATTACTGAGCAGCGTGTGTGTTCAACGCCACCCATTCCGTTTCAGAAAACCTCTCATACAATGACATTCACGTGTTGTGTTGCAAAATAGATCCTGACAGGTGGATCAAGACCCCAATGCAAATTGGCTACTTATTTATTTTTTCAAATAAATAAATTAAATTATCACTTTGAAATTAATTTTTGATATGTTTTAGTTACCTCAAGGGCATCCAAGATGGTGGTGTCTTTGTTTCCGCAATAGTTTCAATTTTGATGTTTTTAGTTCAAACCGTTTGTGTCTGTCAGTCATATAATGGAGGTCTATGGTCACCACCTCAAAGAGCATGCATAGAGAAGACCAAATTAAACATGATTCAATGACTCGTAAATGTAAGTACACATTGATGGCCTAAGACACGAAACGAGCGGTTTGTGTGAGAAAACGAACAGTATTTATATCGTTTTTACCTCTTATAAGCACAGCCACGCCCAAGTGATCTGAGGGCACGGGTGCTTTTTTTGTGTTTACAAGAGGTAAAAACAATATAAATACTGTTCGTTTTCTCACAAAAAACGCTCGTTTCGTGTCTTAGGCCATCAATGTGTACTTACATTTATGAGTCATTAAATCATGTTTCATTTGGACTTCTCTGTGCATGCTCTTTGAGGTGGTGACCATAGACCTCCATTATATGACTGACAGACAAGAACGGTTTGACCTAAACATATCAAAATTGAAACTACTGTGGAAACAAAGACACCTACATCTTGGATGCACTTGAGATAAGCTAAAACATACCAAAAATTAATTTCAAAGTGAACTATCCCTTTAAGCAACATATTGCAAACACTTTTTCTCTTATACATAGTCACTTCTTAGTACCCATCTGCTGTAAGTCCTCAGAATAGATCTCCCTCCCGTCGCTCCGCTCTGTGGGTTTGACATGTTGTTTTGTTCGGCTTGCACATTGCATACAATTCTGATGCAACCCGCTGTAAACGCTCAAATCTTTTCACTCTGTGCGTGTGTGTGCCCGCGCATGTTGTCTTGGTGTGTGTCGTGTGCCTCTCTGTCTGTTTCCAGAGCTCACACCACACTGACAAGCAGCGGATCACTAAGTGAAACAAAACACTCTTTAATAATTCAGGCACCCCCTTCCTCTCACTCTCTCTCTCTCTCTCTCACACACACACACACAGATCCCTTTAAGTCTCCGTGCGTTTATATCTCTGTGACAGGAGGCTGCTCTTTTTGTCTCGTCTCTTATCCGCTCACACACTCTCGGATGAAACCAGAAACGAGGCAGAGAAGCGTGTGAGAGTGTGTGTGTGTCCATACATACAGTACATACACTCTCCGTTTTAGTTCAAATTCCGGATTAAACCTGCTCCCAGAATCCCAAAACAGGCTTTCTCTCCTTTAATAGGCTGCTATTTGAATGTAATCATCATTTGGCTTGACATGGATCCCCCGTAATCTAGATCTGTATGTCCGCCTCGTCCGTGAGGAAGATGAAGGCATTTTTCCTCCATTAGCCTGAGACAGGATTGCAGTTTTCTACTCAATGCTCTGATTGTTTTCCAAAATATAATTGCAGTTATCATATGACTCTGCACATGCATAGTAAGAGCGCTATGAAATATTCATGAGCATATAGCGGGGTAACCCGAGACTCTGGGTAATGTGGCAGAGGAACGTAATCAGGTTGTTTTTCATGGGCGACCGCAGACTATATCAAAGGGAGGAGTGTGTGTGTGATGGGTTCGTCGGACAGGTGGAGCTGTCAAGTGTGTGTTTGATTAATGAGGGGCTGGAGATGTTTAATTGTGCGTAATGGACATGCATGTGCACACACTTCTCCTTGTGCACATGTTTATATGTCTTCACCAAAAAATCTGACTTTACAAATCGAGACCAATCAGCACAAGCGATTTTTAAAAAAAAACTGAGACTAACCTCGACATCTGTCCAAACATGTCTGAAATTATTTAAAACAACACACCCTGCCGAACTTTTTATTATTCGAGCAACAACTGTAGTTTTTTTTTTTTTTTTTTGAACCAGGGCAAATTCATTATAGGGTTTCTTCTCACTTTTCCCTCTGTCTACATTTGTTATCCTTGTAATCGCTTTTGCCAAAACATTCACCCTTTTAATTAAATTCATAAGTCGACACAGCTTTATCTCTCTCAGTGGTCTGGTTTGAAAAACAGTTTCGCAGTTTTCTCTCGCTCCTTACCGGGAACTGAATAAAAAATGGCTCTGCTTCTAAATCGCAAGACACTTCAAGACAAGAAGTGGCGTGAATACAAAATACAAAAGGAGAAAAGATATAAGAGATGGTCCAAAGATGCTTGCCATGTTCATTTTGTTTGGTTTATAGTAACATTAGCTACAAAAGTTATTTGGGTAGTAAGTAACTGATTACAAATGATGTATAAATAAAATCTGGATTATGTACTTGTAACTGGATTGTATTATGGTTTATAATACAGTTCAACAGACTAAAGTTACGGTCCCATTTTATATTAAGTGGCTTTAAGTACTGTGTACTTGCATAGGAAAATAAGTACAATGTACTTATTGTGTTCAGGTTGTATTGTAAAACACTTTTGCTGCTATTGAGGTGTGATATGGGTAAGGTTAGGGACAGGTGTGGTGGTATGGGTAGGTATCAGGGTGGGTTAAGGTGTAAGGGAAGGGTAAACTGTGTAATTACAGTTGTAATTACATGCAGGTATTTTCAAAATATAAGTACAATGTAAAAACATGTATGTACACAATACGTCCAATGTATCAAAGTAGTAACTTCTATGTAAGTACATAGTACTTAAAGCCACTTAATATAAAGTGGGACCAAAGTTACTTTTTATTAATTACATGATTACATGTTATTTTCACAATGACAGTAAATTATTCATAATTCATTGAGTCTCGCTACTACTACTATCTTTGAAATGGTCCTTTATAAAAAAAAGGCTACTTGTATACATTCAGAAGGTCTTCCAGATTTGTGGAGTTGCACACACACACACACACACACACACACACCAGCCACTAAAAACTGCCACACACACTCACAGTAGTTGATCATTGGATTTACAGAAATCATTTCACTTTTAAGGAGTGTTTTCTCAACATTGCAACATTGCATATCTAATTAATAATTATTGTGTTACTTTGGTCTTTGGAAGGCATTTGTCTTTTTGACCTTATATATTTACTTGAAGTACACCCTGAGATTTTAAGTTAATAAGTTATAATAATAATAATAAGTAAATAGTTCTCTGATTATAGTTAATGGTCACATTGCATGAAAGATAACCAATAAAATATTTAACATATATTTGTATGCATGCATGTATGTGTTATTTAATTAAAATGAATGGAAATATTTTTATAATAATATTAGAAATTAATTAATTCTTTATGTATTAATAAGATATTTGAATGTAAAATTTGTTGCATTTTTTTATTTCATGTTTGTTATATTTTGTGATGTAACTCTCATTCTCATTGGCTGTGAGGCTGCTGCCATAGCAAACTTCAACCTTTCAGAATATTTGGTTATACATCTTAAAACAATTACGTTCATATCAAACGCCATACATTTTCTCTTCATCTTGTTCAGCCCGAGAACTTTTAATCTAAACACTGGAGGTAGGCCTGCTGATAAAATGTGTTTGCACAGAGAGCCGCTCTATCAACGGCAGGTTGTTTCAAAGCAGCTAAAAGAAACAAAAACGGCAACTATTTATCAAATCCGTCAGCGTTTAATTGAATGTGAAACGGTGGACAGGAACAGTCAGTCTTTTCATTGAGCTGTCGGGACATGATGAATGGAGCGAAACGTGGAAATGCCCATCTCTCCCGTGTCGTTCATCAGCGGCGGCGGCGTCACGCACACGCCAGCCGCGCACGCAGATAAGGAAAGTTTATGAAGAGAATTAGTTCTGAATATGCTTCTAATGAGGTCATTATTTATTTCCAGCTGAACAGTGGGAAGAAAAAAAAATAGATTGTTTTTAACCGATCCATCCCTCCCCCCGTTCCTAATGTTACATGTGGAATGCTGTAAGTGGAAGTGCTGAAAATAAAATGAAAAATGGCTTCACTTAGTCTACTCTGAGCTTAAGTGTGAGTAAATGTTGTTTATTGTGCTTTAATAGATATGTCTTCATCTGGACGAGTTCGATGTCGTAAAACTGTCTCTCTCTCTTTGTGCAGATTGAGAACCTGCAGGAGCAGCTGAAGGATAAGGAGAAGCAGATGACCAGTCTAAAGGAGCGCGTCAAGTCCCTGCAGGCCGACACTTCAAACACGGACACGGCGCTCACCACGCTGGAGGAGGCCCTGGCTGAGAAGGTGGACACACACACACACACATTCATTTACAGACACCTGAATCCATCAATCAGGTTTAGGGTTGTTACGACGATACCAACATTTTGTTTGCCATGATTCTCGCCCATGTAGTGTTTGAAGCAACTGCCCACCCAGTTGGATTGGTGGGACAGATTTTTTGCATTAACTGGAACTAAAGAACTGTCATCCATAGTCAGTTTTTAGAGCATTACAGCAAGTGAAGGGTCCGACCAAAAATAGTTATAGTGCTGTAAATAGTACATTAAGTTATTATTATTATTATTACAATTCATAATGTTTAATATGAATTAATTTTTTAATAGTAATAGTGTTTTCTTACTACAATTAATATCGATGTTTAATTTAATATCATTAGTTAATACTATATATTACATTTATATTAAATAATAATAAATCATAATAAAAAAATGAATGATAAATATATAAATAATACATGTAATTAATGTATGTTATTATTATTATTAATGTTCTTATTTATTATGAATGCATAATCTAATACCATTAGTAAATATATACATTTTACAGTAAGATATAATTGTTATTATTATTAATTGTATTATTTAATATGAATGTATAGTCTAATATTATTAGTGCATTTATAAATGTTATGTTAAGTTTTATTATTATTACAAATCATGATGTTTAATATGAATTGATGATTTAATAATAGTAAATATTATATAAATATTACATTATGTTGGTTGTTTGTGTTAATAGTAATAGTATTTTCTTACTACAATTAATAGTTCATATTGATGTTTAATTTAATATCATTTGTAAATATTATATATTACATTTATATTAAATATAAGACTAATATATAGTAAATCATAATAAAAAAAAAGTAATAAATCAGTACATGTTGTTGTTATTATTATTATTAGTATTATTGTTCTTATTTAATATGAATGCATAGTCTAATTCCATTAGTAAATACATATTACAGTAAGATATTATTGTTATTATTATTAATTGTATTATTTAAAATGAATGTATGATTAATATTATTAGTACATTTATAAATGTATATTATTATTATTACAATTAATAACACATTTTAAAATCAATGTATAATCATATAAATATTAACTTTAGTTATTTTTTATTTTATTTAGTATTAGTATTTTCTTGTCAAATTATTTTCTAACTACAATCAATAATAAGTCATTTTTTATATGTGTAAATTATTTTAAAATTGCATTTAATTTGTTATTATTATGACTAACTACTCTGAATGGTAGTAGCGTGTGTTATGTCTCGAGTGAAGGACACGAGTTCACAGGTAATATATACTGTACTGCAGAAGCTGTGTGTGTGACAGCGGTGAAGATTGCTCTGTCACACACCCTTATGTAAGGCCTCAGTCATTCTCACACTACGATTGACCTCCCAGCAAGCGCACGGATCCACGGGTCAATCCCCGTCACTTCTCATCAACTCACATCGCGTGTGCGATTGTCTTCGCCAGCACCTTCTCGTAGTTCTCTCTGAACGTTTCAGGTCACGGACATCCAGATGACGCGGTTCTCTCAATCGACATATCCCCCCACTCCCACTCCCCGAGCTCCACCTCATGAATATGAATGAATTAAACCCGGGGGTTATTAGCGTTGTCTTATGTGTCCGCAGTTTGGCGGCGATCTGCTGTTCTGCGTTTCCCCGCTTCATCTCGCTCGCATACCCTCACGCGCCGAGGTTTGCTCCCTCCCAGCCGCGGGGCGGAAATCAACTTTGTCAGCCATCTGCATATTGAAAAGGGCTCGTTCAGTGGACACGTATACACTTTTGCGCCACTCAGACCGCTTCTGTCTTTCCCGACTCACACACACACACACACACTCAGTTTTCCATTTCACACGCCTCGGATGCCGTACGATCCCGAGCATTAGCTGGCAAGGCGATGAGCGGTCATGCTTAATGTCACATCTCAGCGAGGATCGGCCAGGAACGCCGGCTCGGGAGAGTGAAATACAGCCTCTGCGGTGAGAAATGCAGCGCGGGCCTGTATTATGATTGTCCGGTTCGGCCGCTCGGTGTGTGAGTTTTGGCCGGCGCGGGTGTGAAAGTGCTGGAGGCTGATGCTCTCCATGATTCCAGCCGTCCTCTTTCACAGGCCATCGACTGCGAACGCGAGGCTGCGCCAAAACACTCTTTCCTCAGACCTCTTATTGTCTCGCGTTATTGCTCTGTGTGTCTCTTTTTCCTCTCTCAGGATTATTAAAGGTGCTGCGTTATTAAAGTGCGCACTGTACAGCATAGTAGCCGTTCACATCAGATCTGACTCATTTCTACTAAAGTTTCTTCCATTTTCTGAAAGAAGACTTGGCCAAATCCTCCAACACCTGGCCAAAGTTGACACATGTGTGAGATTAATGGATGTGTTCATTCAAATATGTTCCACTAGCCGTGCAGAGTTACGCTTAAGTTGGGAATTAAGGAATTGGTGTGTCTGCTCTGTCTAAAGTTTGACAGGTGTTGGCCCACTCTTGTTTTTGGGTAAATATTACATCCCTTACACAAACTGAATGCACATAACCAAAAAATCATTTCCTCTTTCTTTGTGCCACTTTTTTTTCTTTAATCTTTTAAAAGAAAAAAATATATTATTATAGTGTCCATAATACAGATATCCAACCAGTAAAGTGAAAGCTTAAAGGCACAGTTTATTTATTTGAAAGAAGTTAGTTTTAATATAATTCATTATATACTCTAAAAATGCTGGGTTGTTTTAACCCAATTGGGGTCAAATATGGACAAACCCAGCCATTGGGATACATTTTTAAATTACATTTTTAACCCAATGTTTGAGTTTGAATGAGACCCAAAATTGGGTTAAACAACCCAGAATTTTTTAGAGTGTAACAATAATAATTATAACAATAGTTTATTGCACCAGATTCGTGTTTGTTGATTTTTATTCATTATAATGTTTACTAGTTTTAACTTTAAATTATACTTTTTAACAACAATAACTGGAATAATTTAGCTAATTATTATTGTTACACTCTAAAAATGCTGGGTTGTTTTAACCCAATTTTGGGTCAAATATGGACAAACTCAAACATTGGGTTCAAACAACCCAGCATTTTTTAGAGTGTATATTATTATTAATTATTTAAATTATTCCAGTTATTGTTGTTAAAAAGTATAATTTAAAGTTATTATAATAAAAATCAACAAACATGAATCTGTTGCAATAAACTATTGTTATAATTATTATTGTTACACTCTAAAAAATGCTGGGTTGCTTTAACCCAATGTTTGAGTTTGTCCATATTTGACCCAAAATTGGGTTAAAACAACCCAGCATTTTTTTTAGAGTGTAACAATAATAATTATAACAATAGTTTATTGCACCAGATTCATGTTTGTTGATTTTTATTTATTATAATAACTTTAAATTATACTTTTTAACAACAATAACTGGAATAATTTAAATAATTAATAATAATATACACTCTAAAAAATTCTGGGTTGTTTGAACCCAAATTTGGGTAAAATATGGACAAACCCAAATGTTGGGTTAAAAATGCAATTAAAAATGTACAGTTGAAAATGAAAGTTTAAAATTTGAAATGACATTTTTAACCCAACATTTGGGTTTGTCCCGGATATTTTACCCAAATTTGGGTTCAAAGTCAAACCACCCAGGATTGTTTAGTATGTAGTAATAATTATATTTTTGTGCTAATGGATTATTATTTAATGTGAATATATCACCTAAAACTATTAGTAAATACTGTATAACATGGGTTTGTTGCAACATGAGGTTGAGTAAATTATTCATTTTTTCCTCTGCTTCTAAATCACTCATTTAACATGTCCTCTCTTGTTTGTAGGAGCGTATTATCGAGCGTCTGAAGGAACAGAGGGATAGAGACGAGAGAGAGAAGAGCGAAGAACTGGAGAGCAACAAGAAAGAGCTGAAAGAGCTGAAGGAGAAAGTCAGCCTACTGCAGGGAGATCTGTCCGATCGCGAGGTGAGCGCTTGTGTTTGTGTTTTATTAATGGCAGCGTTGAAAGAAGTTGCACTTTTGATGAGTTTTTCTAATGAGTTACACTGAGAAATTACACTGATTTACATTGCAGCAGTGAGGCGAACCATATCTAGAGAGCAAAATGTTTTAATCTTGGACTCGATACATAATGTGTTGTGTTCTTTTTTAGACAACCACCGTCTACAACATCATTTACTCTGTTGATGACCGTTAAACTACAATGTCATCTTGCAAACATACTTTGAGATTTGTGTAATCTGGTTGTATATTTGTGAACAGAAGTTTGGGTTTGCGGTGTAAATATTGTAGTCTTGAACTCAATCCTAAATCTGGAGAACTGTGAGGAAACCCTTCCAATATTCAAGCGTACCGCGTTTTTTTTCCTGTTATATATTTGCACATCTTTGGTGTTTTTGAATGATTACGTTTGTAAATGAAAGTCATGTTACAGGTTTTTGTACTGTACGAGCAAACAAACAGCTCAGAGGTGGGCGTCCAGCTGACATCTTGTGCAATTTCACATTCATAATGCAATTCATTCAGATGGTGGCTTGGCATTCTAACGCAGTAATCCTGTATAATGTGTCAGGTGTGGATTAAAGAGGTCGGTGTGGATCCCAGACAGCATTAGAAGCAACTTCCTTTAGATTGTACTATTGGATAAGGTGCTTAGTCAGGCTTGATAGAGACAGACTGATTCCACAGCCATCCACACAATCCCAGAGGAGCTGTAGCGATGAGAACAGACATGCTGGACCCACAGCACTGTCAGTCGTGTGTGTGTGTGTGTGTGTGTGTGTGTGAGACAAGAAGATAAATGGAGGATTCTAAATGTGAGGGAACGGCCCCTCCCGGAGAGCAACTGCTCATTTCTCTTTCTGTCTTCAACTCTGCTCTGTTGTTCAGGGTTTTTTTTGTTTTTATCCCTTTTTTCTTTCTTTATTCCTTTTGCACTTTCTGGTATTTTAGCTCTCCAATGGCCTTTACGTCAGTGTAAAAGAAATTAAAATGTGGTTGTCGTTTACTGACCCTTATGTCGTTCCAAACCTGTATGACATTTTTTCCTTTCGTGGAATTTTGAAAAAAAAAAAAGATTTCTGGAAATTTTAAGCGTCACAAATGATAGAAGCGCACTATAAAATTTTTAGCTTTTTTAAAAGCACATTTCCTCAAAATTCTCTTATTTTATTTTTTATTTTTATTTTATTTTGAATAATGACTTCAGTTTTGGCTTCATATGGCTTCTGAAGATTTGGAATATGAGTTCATATGGACTACTTTATGGTGCTTTCATAGTGTTTTTTTTTGTCCTTTTTGAAGCATGAAAGCTTCAGTCTCCATTTATTGTAATTGCATGGAAAGAGTGACCTGTACATTATTCAAAGATTCTCCATATGTATTCAATGGAAGAAAAACAGTCATACGGCTCTGGAACGACAAGTGATGAGCGAATGTTAATTTTTGGTTGAACTATCCCTCTAATGATGGAGTTTGCAGTGTTGCACGTACACCAGCTTTCCCGCAGCTCTGTGTCTGTGGCTGTTTTATTATTCAGGTTATTCTTGTTTGCTGTGATCTCTGCATTCCTCTCCGCTGTCTGCCGCTAGAACATGGGCGATGCACATCCCCACCACTAAACCACTTCCTGTCTCACCCCGTCGCTTCTTCCTCTCGTCGACATCTTTCTTTTCCCCCTTTCCATTTCTGTTTGCTTCCAAAAGGCCACACAAATTCTCATGAAAGTCGCATTTCACACCACAATCAAAAAGAGAAATAAGAATTTTAGTTTGCAGAAATGAAATGACTCATATTTTGAGGATTGTTAAAGGGATACTCCACTTTTTTTGATCTCCCTCAGAGTTAAATAGTTGGGTTTTACCGTTTTCGAATCCATTCAGACGAGTTTCTGATATTTAGACGAATATTAGTAACCAGACAGTTTCTGGTCCCATTGACTTCCATAGTATAAATTTTTTCCTACTATGGAAGTCAATGGGACTTGAAACTGTCTGGTCATTAATATTCGTCTAAATATCAGAAATGGATTCGAAAACGGTACAACTCAACTGTTTAACTCTGAGGGAGTTGTAAAATGAGGCTATTTCCCAAAAAAAGTGGAGTATCCCTTTTTAAACTTTTTTTTTTTTTTTTTAATTTTGTTGTGAAATATGCCCCAGGAATCATGAGAGATCCAGCCATGTCCATTTGCTGCACGTAGCGCTCCGAGTCGTTGGATCTCGACTGCTGTCCTGAGCTGTATGTGGCAGCCTCCCATCGCTCAGCATCCTATTATATCGCTCTCCTTGTTTTTCCTGCATTGTATTGTTCCTGAGCAGTGACCTCTTCACTCCGAGCTCATTCGACCTCCCCTCCCGCACTCTAATCATAAAGTGTGGAGTCCAGCACATCCCATCATTCCCCTCTCCTGTTTTCTTTACCAACGCGAGAGAACGCGGCGCGGCAGTATGAACATTAAGTGTGTATTTTGGTCCGCGGACTCCAGTCGAGTGTGAAATTGTGGGGCTCTCCGACTGAAAGCGGAAACGGCAGGAAAGGCCTCATGGATGGAGGGCTGCAGTTTTAACAGCATGCCCGAGACTCGGCTTAAAAAAACACAGAGCTGATGTACTGCATATGTGCAGAGCCCTGGATATTATAGCACACAATATTTGTGATATTACTATTGATATGTACGCTACTGTTACACAAAATCGTTCTCCTGTTTCATATTTTATGGCTTTATTCCTCTTAAATCCCTGTGTGCTGTTAAAGGAACAGTTCACCCGAGGTTGGAGCATAAAAGTATCGTAAAGTGGTCTGTATAACTCTATATATTCAAAAGCCCTTCTGAGTGCTTTGAGTGAGAAACCGACTGAAATTGAAGTTACTATTTACTAGGGCTGTCAAGTGATTAATCGCGATTAATCGCATCCAAAATAAAAGTTTGTGTTTACATAGTATATGTGGGTACACTGTGTATAATTAGTTTGTATATATATAAAAACGCACACATGCATGTATATTTAAGAAAAATATATTATTTATATATAAAATATGTATATTTATATATAAAATAATTTATATATAAATCTTTATATAGTAAATACGTGAAAATATTTCTTAAATATATACAAGCATGTGTGTGTATTTATATATAAAATAATTATACACAGTGCACCCACATGTATTACGTAAACACAAACTTTTATTTTGGATGCGATTAATCGCGATTAATCGTTTGACAGCCCTACTATTTACTAATAATCGTAAGTGAGTCAGTGAGATGAACTTTGAAACTGGATCTCATTCAATATAATATATCGACTCAAAATAATGATTCGTTCATGAACTAACGTTTGACCTCAGATATGAGCCACTTTTATGATGCTTTTCTTAGCCGTCAAGCTCAAATCTCCATTTCTTACACTCTTACACTGAAGAAAAACAATGATACCACTTTAATATGACACGAGGGTGAGCAAAAATCGTCATATTTGGTTGAACTGTCCCTTTAAAAAAATAATTCTATGTTCAAATGTTTCCAGATTAGGTCCAGTTGATTTGATCCTATCTGATCTGCTTTAATTCAATCCTTGTGATTGCATGTTTGTATACAAATGTGTGTTTCGAAAAGAAAAAAAAACTCACATGGCAATTTGTCTTGGCTCTTTGTGGTTCCTGCTGTTGAAATTGGCTCGAAACGTCTGGCCGTGGTTCTGATCTGCATATTTACATGTGTTTGTGCTCAGGTTGTTTCAGTGCAATCAGGGACTGTGGAATGACGTTAGCAAAGTCGTCTCCTGCTTCTCATTTGCTTTTTCTCCCCCCAAACCTGTTCATCTCTATTCAGAGGTAGATTGTTCAATAAGTGCTCTCTGATTTAACCTTCCTTTCCCTCGCCCTCAGGCCTCTGTATTGGACCTGAAGGAGCACGCCTCGTCCCTGGCCTCCTCTGGACTGAAGAAGGACTCTAAGCTGAAGAGTCTCGAAATCGCTCTTGAGCAGAAGAAAGAGGAATGCACCAAACTTGAAAATCAGCTCAAGAAGGTGAGCCAGACACTTGAATGGAATTGAAGCATCAAAGCTAGCAAAGTCTCGTCAGCTAAGCAGTAACAAGCCATTACAGTGACCGGCACGCCGTTAGCGCTACTCTAACAACACTTAAAACAATGACAATGAGCTGAATGTTTGCCTAAGTGCACTTTACCTGTGAAGCTTTTCTCCATCGAGTGCTATAGGGAAGATATTAGCTCTGTTTCAGACCCTAGCTAGCATGGTCAACATCGCTGTCCATGGTCAACAAAGACGGCAGCATTCTTAATGAACCAGAATATTGTACTTGACTGATTTAAACTCAAATAGAGCAGTTGTTAATAGTCACTCAAATGCAAGTGTGAAAAGATACTCGAGAAATGCTCAAAGTTGATTGTTAGCATTTTGCTAACATAGTATGCACAGCACATGCAAATGGCCTGCTGTGTGAATCAGTTTAGTTTGATTTAGAGAGAATTGTTTTTCTATCAATGCTTTAAAGTAATGAATGAAATTAGCTTAATTATTGTACATTTACATGATGTTTAGCAGCACCTTAGAGTTTGGAGAACGAGTTTTGGCAAGGATAGATGTGATGCTGGCTTACATTCTGGCAAAGATGTGCTATCATCATTTTGATACTTAAAATGTTACCCAGCTAGACAGCTCTCTTGATTTCGGGACAGAGCTGTTTATTGAATTTTAAAAAGTACAGGAATTTTGATTTATATAGCTTTAATTGTTAAGCATTCTAGAACAATTTAGGTGGTTTTATGGGGGATTGGATCTATATAAAAAATTATCATTTTAGTAAGCTGAAAAAATATTTTTTCCTCCGAACACTAGAGGTAAAAAATTGATTTTTTTTTAGTGAAGGGAGTTTAAAAAACAAGTCTTATCACAGTTGTCATAGGCTTCATTTCCACTGTTTGACCCTTTAAATAGGATTATACAATTATTTTTATTAAAGATTTATAAAATATTAAACAAAATATTATTTTTTGCAAAAATACTATTTTACTATAAAATATAAAAAAAAAGATTGTTTCATTTTATTTTATAAAATAAAACTGTAAAATTACAATAATATTCATGTCTCAAGCTCTATTTGGACAAGATTTACTCCAAATAGGGCTATTAATTCTTCATGTCTTAATGTTAAACCATCAAGCAAGGCAGTTTTTGGCAAAAAAGATATATGCGCTGTGTGTTCATTTACACATTTGCCGCCCATGACAGTGTTTTGTCAGTGTCTCAGAGTGGCTTGATTTACAGCCGCTCCGAGATACTGAAAAACACTGAATCGTATTTATTTTGATACTATATCTTGCAGCCCTATTCCCAATGATCTCAAGTCTCTTCGATTCGTAGCTCATGGTTTCTCAAACCACCATAAGTGATGTTTTGACACCACTTCTTACTCCAACCATGTCTGTGACTTCTCTCCTCATCGCCATGTTTTCACACCCTATAATTCTCTTTCCTCTCTTGATCTTGCATCTTTGTCATCTTCGCCTCCTCCTGTTTTTTTAAGCAGATCAGATATTTCTCACGTTGTTTCCTATAAAATATTTTGTCATCGCTCTTCTGTGTATCACCCAATTCTGTTTCTTCCCCAACCCCTCTGTGTTTTTCTTTCTTTCTTTCTTTCTTTCTGAAAGCGCTCTGAGCTCATGTCAGGCCATCCCTTCAATCTTGTAAGTGCATCTTGGTGTGAAAAGCCTCCCTTTAGCAGTGCCAGTGTCTCTCTGTGTGTGTGTAACTAATAAATGTGTGAGTGGAGCTTTGCTTGCATGAGCTTGAGGCTTATCTCAAGTTTAGTTTTGTGTGTATGTGAGATAGAGAGGATGTGTTTGGGGGCTGGCGGAGTCTCTGAGTGTTCTGAGATTTGCTTGCATGAGATCTTTTCTTATCTAAAGCTTGAGTGGAGTGATGGTCTTGTGTGGTTTGACGTCGCTCCGTAGCAGAGCTTGGATTCAGTGCCGTGTTCGTAAGATGATATGTGTCGCATTGAGCTGTGTCAACATGGTGTGCACGCGCCTCAACAAATGCTATATTTCCCCGTTTATCGTTAGTATAGTTTTATTAAAGGGATAGTTCAACTCAAAAATGAATATTTGTCATCATTTGCTTGAGATCATGATGATGATTACTATTATTTACCACCATTATTATTATTTTTTTTTTTGCTCAAACTTTTTTATTAATCCAAATGATATTACAACACAATAGATTACAAATTATTAACACTTTTCTTTTTTCACATAAAAAACTAAACATAAATTAAAAATAATAATAATAATAAAATAAACAAAATAAATAAAAAAAAAGAAAGAAAAAGTGTTTTTACCACCTCAAGCAAAGAATGAAACTCAAATGCATGGCGCTTGGTGTAATTGACATCTTGGTGCTCCAAATGTGAGTTTGCTAGTGCTTGAATGAGATTTGGGAGCTAATAAGGGGAAGATATACCCTTTGAATAGTAATCTTTTCTTTCAGTCAGTCTGTCCTTATTGAAGAAGTCTTGACAAACATTTGGACATATTGGACCACTTTTATTGTGTTTTTATAGTTTTTCCGGGATCAATGTAGACTAAAATTCGTTGGAAAAGAGCAACTTGAACACTCTTCAAAAAACATTTTTGGAACAACATGACCGAGTAAATGATGACAGGTTGAATTTTTATTAAATATGCGTAAGATTAAGTGTTTATAGTCTGTGTGTTTCTGTGCAATTGTGGTTGTTAGTTTTTAGACTGCAGTGTACATTTAGTTCTGGATGGTGATGTTGATCACTCATATGAACCGATCACCTTCGTACGCATATTCAGAGCTCTTCGCGTGGCTTGATGAGAAGATCTGGGTCCCATCGTCCGTTCCAAGAGTAATGAAATCTCTGGCAGTGTGTGCGCGTCTGTGTTCGCACAGGGTCTCATATAAAAGCAGTGCAAGTGAAAACCCGCTGACAGCTCGGTGGGCGTCTGCTGAGATTGGATGAGACAGAAAGGGGGCGGAGGACTCGACTGTCCCCGCGTGACCGCCAGGAGTTTACATGGATTAAGGTGTCAGCGAGACTCATGAAATGAGAACAGACATGCCACCAAGACATCCAACAGTGTACATTACACAAACCAGCCAATGCACTTCCTCAACTACTTCATATGGAGGCACATCAAAACTCTTTTATATCCCCCGCTGCACACACATGCATTTTCATATCATTCAGTTACGAGATGTTTTCTCACAAGAACGTTTATAGGTCAAGAAAGTCGTCGTAAATGCGTAAAAAAACCACTGCAAATGTGTGCTGTTTTCACACAGCCGCTCTGTTATTTTTCCCAGCCAAACAGGCACAAGCACAAACACATTATTAAACAACATTATTAAACCGCGTTTCCCACAATCCCCCGTTTTTTGCGCTGGGACACTGGGTGTTCCTCTGAAAGATGGAGCTGGTCCGCTCTGGAGTTCCAATACCAACACACTGCACACAGTTTACAAGCAGACCCAGTGTCCCTTACAGCCCACTAATAACTATACAAATGATAGTTATTTCCTACCCAGTCTGTCTGTCTCGCTGCGTGTCCATTTCTCTGTTTTCTCGAAAGGACACAGCGGTGTCCGTATTGTGAACGTGTTTGTCTGTGGTCCTGAACACATGCTTTTCTTATGTGATCAGATGAATAGTCTTATAGTCAACTTTAAGTTGACTAAGTATACTTTGATTTGGACTTCAGCATTAGAACCTAAAATATCATGTTTTTGAGATTATATAAACTGTTATCTTACATAATTTAAATTAGCCTTGCATGAAAAGCAGTAAACGTTTTAAAAACATCAGTATTCATCTAATTTTTTGATATCCGAGTACAAAATTCTGTTTAACAATTAAAATCATGCTGCAAAGGCAATGTTTTGACATAATCTACAAGTAAATAATCTATTGTCATATATTTACACACACCTTTTTTGGTGCTAACTGCTTTTGGCAAACTTTACAATTTCCAGTTACTTTAGGTAGAAAATGATAAAACAATTTCCCTTCCATTTATGGAAAATATAGGTCTATCAATCACTTCAAAACAGAATTTGGTCCGAAACTAGCTACTTGTATTTTATTTTATTTTTATTTTTATTTTATTTTATTTTATTTTATTCTATTTTTATTTTTATTTTTATTTTATAGTATTAATTTTATTTATTTTATTGAATTTATTTTCTAGGAAATTAAAGTCACAGTTTGTTTTTCCTTTTTGGTCTTAAACTGTATTTATAGCAATTTTTCCAAACCAGTTACTAATATAATTTTAGAAACTGGTTTGGAAAAATTGTAAACCTCCATTTAAAGAAAAAATGAAAATAAACGGATCAAATTGTATTTAATTTGTAGTTATATATTTCTGTACATATGATTACATCATATACATCATTTAATAGTTGCAGACCCTATTCATGGAGCATGCCTTGTAGATTTATTTTGCTCCGCCCTCTTTCTGACACTTTCTTGATGCTAATTGTCCATTACGTGTCTGTATCGTGTTTTCGTATACAAACTCTAATTTCTGTGCCAGACTTGCCCTTTTACACACACGTAAAAGCTCCTGTGTGCAGCAACCGGTCCGTCCATACATGACAAGCTCTTGGCGGTCAGAGTGGAAACCTACTCAACCTCAGGTCGAGACTTTAATAAAGCTAATTAGCGGGGCCTAAACGTCACCTTCAAATATTATCCTCAATAAACCAGAACAGTCCTCTTTCAGCCAGTGCCAGTCTAAAGAGACCTCTGAGCCCAGACACTTTGCTGTATTTTTAACCAGCATGTCACAGTGAGGATTTACTTGATTTTGGTTTATTTTTGTGCCTGGTGGTTATATAAACATATTCTGGATAGATTCAAGCTATCTTTGAATGTCTTCTGCATTCAGACTTGGTCCGCACACACATGCATTTAGTCATGGTGTAAATGCAAAGCCTGCACTGTTTTTGTGTTTTCACAGTTTTTTGTTTTTTTTGTTTTTTTGCAGCAGGAAGACACCTGTGTCCTTTTAGAGGACTTTTATGATAGAAACATTATGGCTGACTCCTTTAATTGTCAGGGGGAAGTGAATTGATTTACTTTTCATTAGATGAGGCCCTTGACCCGGCACTTTAGATGGCCGTAATGTCACTAATTATTTTGATGACTTCAGCATGATTGTATTTCCATGTGCACACACACACACACACATGCACTTTAATGAGGTCGTATCCTGTTGTGATGTAATGGGGAACCTTACACTGAGCCTCCAGGTGTGAGTTGGGTGTCTTAAACCTCAAAACAACACACAGACACACATGTAACGGTTTCTACTCAATTCAATTGTCTCTACTCAACTATGGAGAGCTGAAGTCAGGTTAGCATCCAGGCTTCTTGTCCAATCACAGCACAGAACCATGTAAAACCCAATGTTTGTGGAAAGATACAGTGGAGGACATTTTTAAACTCGTTTGAGAATTTGAGGTCTAAGGCGTATTTACTACAAATCCAATATGGTTGAATGTTTTCAAATATTTGTGTGTATATATAATATATTAGTATATAATTTCAATGATTGCTCTCATTATTATCATCTTAATTTATTCGTATATTATTTTAAATAAATAAAAAATCCAGACTTGTTATTGTTGCCCCCTGAAACTCAACTTTGGTCTGTACAGGCTCAGTCAGTTGCGGTTGAGGCTCAGGTAAATGCAGGACTATCGGAGCGCATTGCCACACTCGAGCAGGAGGTGGCGCGCTACAAGGAGGATGCTGGGAAGTCACAGACAGAGGTGGACCGGCTCCTGGAAATCCTCAGAGAGATGGAGAATGAGAAGAACGACAAGGATCATAAGATCAACGAGCTAGAGAGGTACACACACACACGTAAAACCTCCAATTGATGGATTCTCCACTCCGTCACCCTCTTACTCCATTTGTGTCAGTTTTTCCATGTTGTTTTTGTTATGCATGTGATCTTTCAGTTGCATGTTCGGTTTAGTGTGTTTAGCTCAATATTTTACTATTCATTCTTTCATTTTTTGCAACTTTAGTTTATTTTCCATTCTCCATCTGCCAATAAAGCCTTTTTTCTCTCGTATTACCACCCCAGGCTTTTGCAATATTGGTAGTACTGAGTGCAACTATTGTGGAATTTTCCTTGTATTGTGTATTGACATTGACAGCCACCATTTTGGCATTGTGTATATTGCCAGGAGCATATAGGTGACCACACAGTCCAAAATAGTGCAATTTATGTTGATTTGTGCTCTTGTTGCCTTGGTTTGTGTGCTTGAAGTCCATAGGGCGTCCCATTTGTCATTGTGTAGTAGAGCCCAACCGATGAAGGATTTTGAAGGCCGATACCGATACAAATATTTTTGAGTTTTAAAATCCGATATTCCGATATATATCGGCCGATATTTTATTTATTTATTTGAAACTGGACATGATAGTCACAAATTGTGTCATGCTTATTTGAGTTAAGAGAACTGATGGGGATGTTCTTTTAATTGTTATTCAAGCAATGTATGTATCGTGACCAACTGAGTGTTGTTGCCAACAGGAACGGTGTAGAGTGCCCTCTGGTGGACAAACTAGCATGTTTCATCCGTTTTTATTTTATTTTTGAAATATTCATTTTTGGCCATTATAACTGCCGATACCGATAGTTTGGAAAATGCCTAATATCGGCCGATAATATCGGTCTGGCTCTATTGTATAGTTCAATTGGGTGCACATATGTAGGCAGTGTTGCCCCCTCAACTTGCCTTTTTACTTTTGGAGAACCGCCAAGACTGAAAGATCTCTATGGCACAAGGATGAAGATGAGGGTGTCAATGTTATTCCTTGTCTTCCTCACTTTTGTGTTTGTGTTCTCTGTTAGCTTTCCTTCTCACCCACTCAGTCATCTCTTATCCTCCGTTTATTTAGGCGTCAGACCAGGAATGAGTTGCAGGAGATTTGGAGGCCAACTTCAGCAATAGCATTATGGGATGTTGGCATTGTCATGCCTAGTAGATCCATGGCAGTCATAAACTGTAGATTTAGTCCTAATCCCCAACACGTTGCTCTGATCCCAAAGTATGTTCTGTGACATGGAGAATAAAGTGATTAAGCTACAAAGAGCTCCATAAATGAACACTTTATGAATCGCACACCTTCAACCGCATGACTGCTCCTCTCGGAGCGTTTTTCTAGACTTTTTGCACTGTAAACATCTGTGTTTTCGGCCTACATAATTGGACTAATTAATGAGAGGCAAATATAGACCTTTTCACATCCTCACGGCTCTTATAAATAAATAAAGATAATGAATAATTGAAGGAAAGCTGGAGTGTAAACAGACAAGAACGTGAGGCAGAGCCTGGCCCAGCGTTAAAGAGTCGTGGAGGTCACGGATGTGGATGTTGTGCATTGACAGTTGTGTACTCCTCGCTTTCACCCTCCTTTAGGCCTTTCAAAGCTGTTGTCGGAGACCCTTCCCGAGCACCAGCGTCTACAAAAAGCCCTGCTTTAGCCTGACAGGGACATTTATTTGCACTGAGGCTCTCGCTGTTGAATACTGGAAGTGTTTTTGGTGGGTTTCTGTTGTTTCATAAATATTAATCTGACTTGCGTTGAATGTCTAACGCTTTACAGATCTACGTTAGGAGCGGATTAGACTAAAACAAACTCCATATGCTTGGCTCGATGCATCATTCATGTCAACCGAGAGAAGATTTCTGAAATAAACACCAGCCGCAGTTGCTAACCGTGGCGCTCCGAGCTAATTACCACTCAAGAGTCAGGTTATGCTCTCGAAACACACCGGGGAGTTCGGTTCTCAAACACCTCCCATTGTTCTTTCTGTGTCTTAGTTTTCCGGCACTCTGGAGTTTGACTCTTGATGTGGTTTTGACGGAGAGTTATTCAGACAGATCCTCTTCTGTTAGCGCCTGCGTCTTTAATCAAGACGCGAATGGCAGGCAGAAGCGGTGCGTTCTGTTCAGAGTGAGTCAGGATTACCTTTCTCACTCAGAGATGGGGAAGCCAAAGCTCCTCTTGTTGCAGATCAGGGGTGCAGAGGCAGGTCTTGATCGAAAATGCCTTCAAAGTCGCCGAAAAATGGCAGAGGTTGAATTGGGGCATTGGGGTATTTATTTCATAAATTCGGCAGCAGTAAATTTGCCGGTAATTATGGAGGATTGTGAGGCTCACTGTTTGAGAGGGAACTAAAATTGGAGGGTGAGTCTATAACAAAGAAATAGAGGTGAAACACAAGCACAACAGAAGCACTATAAGGATAGCAAAGCTGATTCTCATGTTTTTTTTAAATCAAGCCCCATTTATGTTTTGTCACATCGTTTGAGGGGTTTTCTCTTGAAATTTTGATATCAACTTAATTTGTCAATTTTAAATCCATTCACATCCTTACTAAAGATGCATCTGGTTTTTATTGACTTTGTATGGCCTTCATATGTTTTCTTTAAACTGAGATTGCATGTCACATTGTCAGGTTTTTTTTTTTGTTTTTTAACCCTAAAACCGTATTCTGGACAAATGTGGGCAAATAGTTTTGATTTATTTTTTAAAAATACTTCCCTTGATCTGAGTGGTACAAGACTTGGCTACTTTTCCGAAGTTTGCCTCCTGCACCCACACAATTTTTTTTTGACTCAATTCTACAATGTTAAGTGGGTCCTTAATCTTGTATTTGGGTCAAAAAATGGGCACCCATAGAAATGAATGGGAAAAACTGTAATTTAAAGCATTCTAAAATAAGCCAAAATAAGACACCAGGTGACAGCAAAGTCACTTCATCTTTAGGTTTTAACTCTAAGAACTTATTGGAATGATATTTTAATGTAGTAATGTAAAAATAAGCATAATTTACATAGAAAATATGGTACTTTTTGAAGTAAATAAATAAAAAAAATTAATAAACACCATAAATGGATAGACAAAACTTTATCAAAGACAGTGATATAACATTTAAGAAAATATGGTACTTTTTGAAGTAAATAAATTCAAAAATACCCCCCAAATAAAAAAAAAAAAAACACCATAAATGGATAGACAAAACTTTATCGAAGACAGTGATATAACATTTATAATAAATAAAAATTAGGATCACACCTGAGTACTCAATTACAGGATTAAGGGCTATAAAGTGAATACGGTTTGAGGGCTATATTCCCCGTTCAGTATGCGTGTATCAGAAGTCTACATGTGAAGGATCTTTTTTGTCTTACGCAGCTTTCCAAGTTAACCCAGCTCACTCTGTGTGTATTTCACCCCTGTTTCTCTCTTTCTTCCTCTTCGTTTCTTTTCACTGGAATGCTGTCTACAGTCTGGCTTCAAGGTCAGTATGCCTTCTTTCCTTGCTTGCACTTCCTTTGTACTGCAAATCAACTTCTTTACGTTGTAACACACTAACTATGTGCTGCTTTAACAGGACCCACTCTGTAAATCATTTTAAGGATGGTTCGTAGGATCTGGGACTTGTGTTATTGAGGGGGGACTGTATCCGCTAGATGGGGGGTAAAATAATTCAGTGGTTGATTGTGGTGTGGTGGTGCCCTTGGGCGATGCAGTTAACCCCAATTTGCTCTTGTTGGCTCCATCACTCCCCTTGGACTTGCTTCTAAAGTTTCTATGGAAAAAACAGAAATTGCTCTGACCTGAATTGATTAAAGGTTCAAAAGAAGGAATGAGGAAACCTGGGAAGGTCAAGCAGGCACTACAAACAGAAGAGCTTGTCTTATTAATGCATGCCAGCTTACCTGTGAGGTCTGCGACTCGCCAGAACTTCTGCTGATAGAAAGGATGTGGGAAAAGAACGAGTGAGAACGTCTAATTGGAGCGTAAAGAATCTCCATCAGTCATTTTCTCCCGCGTGGTGTTGAAAAGCTTGCCTCTCCTGCCAGCGCGCCGTCAATACGGACCCGTCCCTCTACAGCTGGGATCTCTGCGTTCGGCTTGTTTATCGTGGTTATTATTTGCATCTCTTTTTAGTTTGGTCTGGAACAGAGACTTGTCAAACTGTTTTATTTTTTCCGCTCTTGTTACTCCACTAGAAAACAAGCTGAATGTTAGGGAGCGCTTGACAGAACTGTCAATTTCTCTCTCCCTCTCTCTCTCCCCCATCCTTCTTCTCCTCCTTTTTGTTTTTTGGCTTTTTTTAATTTAATCTCTGGATCTCAGGAACTCGACAAACATAGCCGATTTGATATCTCCCCCAGATGAAGGGGTTCAGCGTAATGAAAAGGAATCCGTGTCACTCTGAAATGATTTTTCCCCAGTGTTACGCATTTGCTGCTGAGCTGCAGGGCCTCTTGATTTAGTCTACAAATGCTTGACAATAAATGTGGTGTGCGTCGTTCCCTGAAGTCTTTTTCTTTGTTTCTGTCCTTTTCTTGGCAATCTGTTTTTTTTTTCTTTCTGTATTTTGTTGTTGTTGTTGTTGGTTTCTCTTTTTTGATTTCTCACTCTTTGTTGGCTATTTTTCTTTTCATTCTCTTGGTTTCCTTCTCTTTCTTCGGCTTTATTTGTTTTTCTATTTTACTTGTTGTTTCTCATTCTCTCTTCCTTGATCTGTCTGTTTCTGGCAGTCCCTGACTTGTCTTTTGTTTCATTTTTTTAAAGTAGAAAATTACGTATTGTGTACGTATATATATATACACACACACACACACCAAATTATTAGACTTTTAGTGACATGATTGATTTGTTTATATAATTTAATTTTTTCGTTCAAGTAATTGATTTGCTCACAATATTAAATTAAGTTTTTTTTAGCATTATTGGTGTATCATATAAATAGTGTTTTTGATATAATTTATTTGTTCCTATTATTATTATTACTACAGTATTTTATTTTGTCAACTTATATATGTGTAGTATCTGTCTATGTAATGTATAGTATTTTGTCATTCCTCCCTCTGTTTTTCCTCTCTGCTCCACCTCTGCTCTGTTTGTGTAATTTAAGTCACCGTTTCTCATTCTGGAGAAGGTGGAAGGCTGTATTTCTGGGTTGTGTCTCATTATTGCGGGAGGCTGTTCTGCTGCGCTGGTCTGTCGGTGTCGGTTCCTCCGGCAGGTGAAGGCCACAATCCCACACTGACAGGGAGGTCTGCTTCTCTGGGCCTGTCGACGAGTGCATACGATCCGGCCGGCTCGGGGAACACCTCTGTTGTCTCTGTGTGCTTTCCAGTTAGCTTTGGCTGGCCTGGCCTCAGGGCCGACCGCATGATTAACTAGATTAGTCGAGGGCCGGAGGGAATCGTCCGCTCCACGCAGGGTGATGCGTAAGAGACGCAGGGACACCCCATCGTGCACCTGGCCGCAAAACGTTCGCACAAGCCAAAGTCTATTAGGCTCGGAAAGTTAGCGCTCGCCACAGACAGAACTGTGAAAACGAGTCCCGCTATCACGCAGCGGCTCTTGCCAGCTCTCCTCCACCTGCTGCTCGAGAAATGGCCACAGCCTGCGAGGAACCCACATTTCCTGCCTTTTATTAGTCCTGAGCTCACGAACATATCCTGAACGCCAGGAAGGAGATTTCCGGCCAATATAAAGACACAATTGACATTAAAGGATGGCTTCGAGAGGGATGAGGGATGGAGTAAACACACACGCTCAAACAGTCTTTGATGGCGTTCCACTCTGTTCGCTGCTGGTCAAACAGGTCGTGGTTGTGATAAACAGAAAGATTTTTGTCCTTACTCGACCTTTCTGCTGTTTATCCCATCCTGGACTGTTAGTGTGGGCACACTTACGTGCAATTCTGTGAAAAATGACATCAAAAAGTGAGCCCAAAAGGTTTGGATGAAAACATGGCGCGGTAACCATCTCCAGCCTTCTGTGTTGCGCAGCCCGCTCATAAACGCTCGCTGGCTCCGTAACATAAGACTCCTCATAACGGCATGATGGATTTATTTCTTCAAAATTGATTTCCGTGTGCATTCATCTCAAAATCGCACCCAATTTTACCATTGGGTCTTGTTTTATGTTATTAAGTGTCAGGTGCGATTGAACTTTGGAATAACGTTTGCTTTAATGCCCGCCGGGCCTCATTTCTCCAGTTAAGTGACCACAGAACGTAATTGTTTAGAAATGTAGGTTCATATTATTTTGAGAAAGGAAATGTTGAAAGAGCGAACGTTTTATAAGAAGTCATTTTAAGCTTTTGCACTTGAGGTCTGGGTTGCGTTTTGTTTTTCTAGCTTGACCTTGCAGCGGTGGTCATTCAACAACATTTGCGTTTGGCTCGTCGTGGTTTTGGGATGTCAGAAAGTACATGTCCTTCCCTGGGGCCTTAATTTGGCTGAGTGAAAAGGACTTTTTTTTTATTTAGGGATGTTTATTGGATGCAAATTTCAAAGGCTTCATTATGCAGAAGTTTAGAACATCTATAGCTAAAAGTTAACAAACTTTCTGATGTTTGCTCACACACTCATGCCAATATCATGAGAATTTCAAAGTGCTTTCAAGCCTGTGAACATTGCCTGAAGCTGTTTTGTACATGAATTATTAATTTAAAGATCTAGATGAATTACTATTTTTGATAAAATTCCAGGGTTTGAGCTCTGGGAAGATAAGATTCATTAAAAAGTGTTTGGTTGGACTGGAGCGTTGAACTTTCACCAAAGCGCAATCCATTTCCACCTGTTTTTTTTTATTTATTTTTTTGGTTTACATGTTATGTTTTGATGTATAATTAGTGTGTTTTTCCTCTAGACAACCTCAAAATTGTGCTGAACGATTATTTTCTTTCTCTCCCTCAGTACAGTGCCCTGTCATAGACCTGTTTACCTGCGCTTCATGTTTTCCACTCATTTTAATGTTGCTTCTCTCGTTGCCCGAAGCCACACCAGTACTCAAATGTAGTACAGTTTTCCTAGTATTGATAATATGGCCGCTAATGCAACATAAAGCTCAGTAAAGAGAGGAGGAAGATGACAGGGGGTTACGCATGTGATCCAGAGTTTTATTTAGAGGAAAGGAAAATGTTGGCATTGGGAAAATTGACAAAGAAGGCCCTGTAAATGGGGTCTCTGCCCTTGCACACATGCAGTGGTGGAATGTAACGAAGTACAAATACTTCGTTACTTTACTTAAGTACATTTTTCACGTATCTTTACTTTACTTAAGTAGAATAAATAGTGCATACTTTTTACTTTTACTTCGTTACATTTTGCAGCAATTATTATACTTTCTACTCCACTACATTTCTACAACTTCTGTTACATTTTCGTTACATTTCCTGATCAGTTTTTCCCCTGCCAAAACGTAATCTGACCGTCCGTTTGTCTCACCAGTGACGTTTGGTTGCCATAGATACAGTATATCAACCCGGTCACACTAAATGCGTCTCACACGCAGTGTGTTTATCATGCAACTCATACGCGAAAATTTGTTTTTTACGTGCATAGGAAACACACCGTGTGTAATATATGTTTGGTTTGGTTAGGAATATGGCAAGCCAAGAGGTTCAGAATTACACCATAAATGAATCGCGTTTACTGCCAATAGTAAGGATAAGCATGATATTGTCTAATTGCAAGCTTGTTTCAGAAATGGTGACATTTTTTTCCATCATTATTGAACATCATTATAGGAGTAGGCTATTAGGTTGAATGAGTTAGAATTAAATGTTTTATTAATCATTAGAAAATAGACATTAAGATAATAAATTGTTATGCAAGTACTTTTACTTTTAATACTTAAAGTACATTTAAAATAAAGTACTTTTTACTTTTTACTTAAGTATGGTTGTCATTGTGTTACTTCTACTTTTACTAAAGTAAATATTTATCTGGGTATTTGTACTTTTACTTAAGTACTGAGATTCAGTACTTCCTCCACCACTGCACACATGGAGATGTTTCCATTTAGGTTTGTGTGTTAGCAAGAAAGTGAGACATTCTCTTCAAAAGTCTCCTGTTTTTTACACAACCATTCAAAAGTTGGTGTCTGTAAGATTTGTTTTTGACAAAAGTGTTTGACTGAAGGCTGCATTTGATTGATAAAAAACAAAACTGTAAAAACAGTAATTTTGTCAAATGTTATTGCAATTTAAAATAAAAACAAATGTGTTTTGATATATTTTAAAAGTATGATTTATACATGTCATGGCACTGTTACTCCAGTCTTCATAGTCACATGATCCTTCGAAAATCATTCTAATATGCTGATTTGTTCAATGTTCAAAATAACAGCATTTGAAGTAGAAATCTTTGAAACATTATAAATATATTTACTGTCACCAATCAGAAAAAAATAAAACCCTTACATTTCAGGGTATTTCAAATAATGTGTATTTAAATTAATACAGATAATATTTTTATTCAGATTTTTTGAAATTAGAATATTGGTTTAATCTGATTAGGTTAAAGCATTTACCCAGTTAAAAGAGTCATGTATGTTTGTGTGTTTCAATATTTCACTGTTGGACATAAAGCAGAGCTATATTTTGGGTCCGTTTAAGGAATCTTTGGAATGTATATTTGATTTAATCTGACAGGATGGGCTAGATTAGAGTGTCACCATCACTTAAACTGTATCTAAAGTGGAGCTCACTGGAAATATTGGCTTGCATGCTGGTACACAAACAAAGCCTTCCTTTCAGCAATCGTTTTTTTGTTATATTCCTGCGCCATCTTGCTTTTATCACAGCATATCGAAAATACCAGAACGACTGGCGAATTACATCTGAATTAGATGTCATCGTTTCACTTTATTGTTGTAGAAGTGTTTCCCTCGTGAACTCTGTGAAATGGGGTTACCTATCCCATCACATCAGAGCTCAAATGGAGACATATAAACATATAATCAAAACCCTGAATAAAGGGCTGGCCTGCAATGCATAAAAACAGTCAGCTGCTTATTGCAAGTGTAGCGGAGCCAAGCAGATGGCTTGGCCTCTTCTGGAAACACCAAATAGGAACATTCCAGTATATTTATGACCTGTTACACAAACTCCCTTGAGCACACACACACAAAGTCTTTCTTTTGCTTTGTTATATGGTCATGTTATCTTGGAGATGGTCTTTTGACAGCACATCTTGCCTGATGTTTGCATACTCCAGGCATTTTTATTAGATTTTTTTAATGGCCATCACATTAGCTGTTGGGGAAGCTACGACTTTGCAGAGATGCTCATAAAACCGTTCAACTGCAGTCAAGCTACACTGGGTCCTAGTAGTACTAGTTAAGTTGCAAACTAAATAATATTTCTGAAAGCATAATTGTCAGATGGTACCATTTAATTTTGCACTTACACCATTTATCTGGCACAAAACACCAGAGCTAACTAATAAAACTGTAAAACGTGTTTATTTAACCGAGCAGAAAACATTGTTTAAATAAATATTTCGGGGTTTAAATGAAATGGTGAATCATTTAAATGAATCAATGAATTGTTTGTTTAAATCAGGGAATTGTTTAAATAAATCAGGCAATCGTTTATTTAATCAGCGAATCGTTTATTTACACGAACCATGTGAATGAACTGATTCACTACAATAAATCCGATTTCCCAATGCAACATTTGTGAGAGAGGACAGAGTTCACTCGGCTGTGGGTGCAGTGATAAAAATGTGATGAAAAATGCCGTGATGTAGCTGTTTGTCATGTTACACCAATGCTTATTGGGAAAGCTACAGCTGTTGTGCAGTAATGAATGTGTAGTCAAGTTAGAAGATGCCTTTTCTGTGTGTTTCGAGCCTCAAGACCTAAATTCTGTTTGATTTATAAAAAATATTGAATAGAGCAGTGGATGTAATTGTAGTAGACTTTCCCTCTTCATCGCCTACGCTCTTGTCAATGCTGCATGGCTACACGCTACGGCCTCACATCCCAGAAACACGCGTTCATGTACTGTAAAGAGAGGAAAGAAAACCTTGGGAACCTTCTAGAAGATAGAGACACACTGGTCGAGACCAGTCGTTCCTAGTATTAAAGGGTTAGTTCACCCAAAAATGTGTCAGTATTTACTCACCCTCAAGTTGTTCCAAACCTCTATGTGTTTATTTGTTCTGCTTTTCACAAAGGAAGATATTTGGAAGACTGTTTTAATCAAACAGATCTCATTCCCCATTGACTACCATAGTATGTATTTTTTCCTATGGTAGTCAATGGGGAATGAGATCTGTTTGATTAAAACATTCTTCCAAATATCTTCCTTTGTGTTCAGCAGAACAAATAAACACATAGAGGTTTGGAACAACATGAGGGTGAGTAAATACTGACAGAATTTTCATTTTTGGGTGAACTAACCCTTTAAGTCACCTGGCTAACTCTAACCCCAAACTTTTGTATGGCAACTGTGAGCTGACGACTAGAGTTGTGCCAGTTTCTGCAACAGGAGCCAGAGAGCCACTGTGGCTTTCCTCTGGTACTTCAACACAGAGACTCCACTGTGCTCAGGACGGCTCATCCAGAGGAACGATCAGGTTCTAGTGCCGCAGCGGCTTGGCCCGATTTACCCAAGCCTTGTTCGGCGTCACCTTGCTTCAGTGAACATGCTCTTTACGCTGCTTTTTACTCCAGAGTACTAGCCGAATTGGGATGCAGGCGTTGTGCGAAGCACCTTGGTTCTGCTTTCCTGGCACATGTAGACATGGCTTGTCATATCCCATAAGCCCCCATAATAACGCTTCAATTACTTTCCCGTATTGTGTGTCTTGGGCAATGCACTTTGGTGTCAAGGGGGGCCGAGGGAGGTCTTTCCACAACGCTGTGTTATTACTCATTTAAAGACATTGGTGTTGGCATAGTCAGTGGTACATCTGTTCTGTAAGGCATAGTCGTACTTTTTTTTAATTCTTTTGATCAAGTCAAGATGGTGAACAGTAACCGATCCTGGCTGCCAGTGCACAGTGCTCCTTTGCCGGCCACGTAAACAGGAAAACTCTGCCGCTTGTTGGGACCGAATGACCCCAGGATTTAGGCCTGTTTGATACGACACTTCTCAGAAATGAAAACCGCTTGAATGCTCTTTTAAATATTCCTTTGTTTTAATGGTAGTGCTTTGTGTTCCTGCGGGTTTCCATGCCACAGCAAATGGAGGAGGGTGAAGGATAATGAGAAAAATCCTAAAGCATAAACACAAACATAATGCCGTTTTCATTTGCAGTACAGCTTGATCTGTGGAGATCAGTTCTGCCCCCTTTTCTTGTCATTTCTGATAAGCTACCTTATGGCTCCTCTCATTGACCCTTCTGTTTGTACTTGACTGCTTGTACTGTATGAGTGCAAAGAAAAAAAAATATTCTAATTGTAGCATTTAATATTTAGGTTTTTTTATTCTGAATAAAATCATGCATATTCAATTCCACAGTAATCTTCATTGTATACTCTATATTATTTAAAAAAAACATCAATAACATTGTGCATTATTATTATTTAAATTTTTATTTTGACCCATTCCTAAATAATATCCCAAGTTTGTTATTATATATTAAAATATAGCAACTTTTTACATCGAAATCACATTAAATGTAGGTATTTGATCTGATTTCAGATTAGTTTACAATAGTACAATATTTTCAGAATGGAATAATATACTTTATTCGTTCATTGTATCTTTATTAAAACTTCATAATATGCTTATTTTACATTCTGCATAGTTTTTTGCTAGTCTGAACAGTCTGTTTCCTGTTTCCATCCACCTCTTATGTCATCTGTGCATGTCTGACAGAAATCTCTGTCACTGCAGGCATATGAAAGACCAAAGCAAGAAGGTTGCCAATCTGAAGCACAAAGAGCAGGTGGAGAAGAGCAAGAACGCCCAGTTGATGGAAGAGGCTCGTAAGAGAGAGGATAAAGTCAGCGAGAGTTCTCAACAGGTCCAGGTAAAGTACACGTGACATTTATGTTATTCACAGTTATTTGATTGGCTGAGCGACATTACAAGAGTTTCGATTTTCATCCCTACGGAACTGAGATGTTTCAGTGTTTAAATCGCTGCGTCCTCATGCTTGTGTGATGTTGCCGAATTGAAATGCTGGATGAATCCCTCTTCCCTGTAATGGATTTCAGAAGGTTTTACACACATAACCAGGCTTTTATAGTCTTAACATTGAAACTTAACCCATAATGAGGCCAATCAACCTTTTAAGAGGGTCAAAGACCCCTCAAAAACCATGAGCTATTCACAATAGCTCAAACCTCTGTGCGGTGTTTAAAGGTTTTCCTTTTGTGCTGTCTCTTCAGAGTGATCTGTCTTCTGATTATATAAGTTTGGATGTCAGCTCCAGTTCCTCATTTGAGAATTGCTAGGATTCTTCTCAGGTAAAGAGCGATCTCATGTTTCCCTCATCCAGACCGCATTCACGCACGTCCTGACCTTGTGTCCTCCTCTCATTGTGAGCTTTGGATTTTGGAGAAAGAGAAGAGGAGAGAATAATTGTACGATGAAATAGGACACAGTTGTTCAGTGTGACCGCAGGAACTATTTTTGAATTCATGGCTTTGTGATCGTGAAGAAGCAGCGCCAGCGTCGGCATCCAGGTATCGGGGTGTTTAGTTCAGGTTTGCGGATACACGCTACCTCATCTGGGCTGATGTAACTTTCACCATATTGACTTTTTTTTAGCCCCAATTTGACAGGATGGTGGTCTGTGGTGGTCGTTCCCGTTCTTCTGGAGCGAGTTTCTGGATAGAAAGCCAGAATCAGCAGTTAATGTCTGTGAGAATCTCAGTGCAAAAAGTCCCAGTTTTTACGGTGAGGCTGTTTTTCCTCTTTGCCGTAGACCTCTGGACAACAATGTCACAGCGGCCCTCCCTTTGTTGTGGTTTTCTGTGTTTTTCCTGGCTGTTGGTTTGTTCTTTCGATCATTCTCCGTTTTCACATTTTCCTTGTTCTGTGTCATGTGTTCTCTGTTTTCGTTCGAGTTCATACGCTATATTTCTGACAGCAGGATTGATGTGCTGTTGGACTTCGACCTGTGGTACCCGGCGACTGGAGCGTCAGTGTGTTCGTGCGCAAGAGTACGTGTTGTGGTCTAAGAGAGCTCATTTATGACTTCAGGGCCCCAGCTTCCTCCGTGGGGTCACGTTGCCGCAAGCCCACACTGTGGCTTACGCTCCCCCGTTCGAAGCACCCTGATGCGGCTGCATGGCGGGCCTCGGCGACAGCCGCTTCCTTCAGCCAAGACCATCAACCGCCACCTTCCCCCACAGGCACGTCACGATACGGCTTTGAGGCCCTGAGACTCTAGATCTGACGCTCACACGCTATTGGACGCATCAGGCGTGTTTGGAAGGGAAACCGATTGTTGTTGATGTTTGGGTATGGTTACAGTGGTCCTGCTCCAATCAGTTGGTCAGGGTGAGCTGAGAGAGAGGTTAGCCCAGGACAGCAGCACTGACCCGGCACTAAAAATGGCTTTTTTAGTCAATTAGGAAGGTTTCCATTGGAGCCCTGAGGTGGGATGTGGGGTGGTCAGTCATGGTTAAGCACCAGAGCTGCACAAACATATTCAGAATAGCAACTATTGACATTGGAGAAGGTTAGATGGTCAGAAGAACGCTTCTTTTTTTCGAGTTTCCTGCTGGTGGCGTGGTGCTGCTTCCACATTGTTTTGATCCAATCAGTCCCCTAATTAGAAGTGCTTTCTTAGGCAAGGATCACTGTAACTATTCTAGAAAACCCCTAGTCCTTAATATTTAACTTTGGTGTGCAATGCATGCTCTTTAAACGAATCGGACTTATAATCGTACAGCTTGAGGATGTGAGCTATTTCTTTTATTAGACTTCTGACTTTTCATATTTCAGGACAAGAATTTACTCTCTTTCAACTAAAATGATAGAATTTGAATTAAAAAAATATCCTATACTTAGTTTTGAATTGGTAACTGATAACTAACCCTGACCCTGGGCCTTGCAGTTAGATGGTGACATGTCTTTTGGATGGGCAAGTATCAATGGCAATGTCTATTTAATTAAGTTTAGCTGTTAGTTTCCATTGGACGATATGCAGAAGAGTGTCTTTGATCAACACCCCTCAAGAGCGTGACTTAAATCTCTTCTGAATCATCCCTATCCTTTTTCATTTATCCCTCTAGTCTGATAAAACTGGAGATGGGTTTTAATAGGCCTCCACATCTCTTTAGTGTTTTCGAGACATTTTCCGCTGGATACCGAGTTCCCAGACGTGCAATGCGCACTGGATCATCAAGCGTACCTCTCCCGCCGATCAAATATCATCAGCCTGAAGAAATCAAGACTTTCGCTGGGAAGCAGGATGGAGAAAGACAGCGGGGGAGAAAAGATGACATTATAATGAAGCCCAGTAAATACCTGTTTTACTGCGTGGTTGAGTCTGTTCCCTTTTACTCCACAGTCTCACTGTGCGTGCAGCGGCAAATGCTCTGACTCTCAGCATGCCCTGTGACCAGAAGGCCCCACTGTAGCCCGATCTCCACCTTGACCGGCCTTCTTTGAAGGTAAAAAGGCAGAATAAATGAAAGCGAAATTTGTTTGAAATTTGCAGATGTGATGGATGAATGAAGGACGTGATGACGTATTGACGTAGTGTGTGTGTGCGCGTTGGGTGCTAATTCAACATGGCAGCGCGCTGCTGCTAGAAAAACAAACGAACTTTTTTTTTTTTCCCCTCACTCGCTTTTCAACTACAAAATCAACCGTTTTAACCCTAACTTAAAACCTGGATTACAACTCGGACCTGGACCAACTGGAGGATTACATTGACCACCACTTCAACAGACTCTGCAACGTTACAATGGGCCGATCACGCAAAGCCAAAAAACCACGCATTTCGGACTCTCCCTCATCAACCGATTCACCGCCGTCACCAACATCACCATTATCCACTCCGATCAAAACAAACTGCTGTTCCGACATACTCCTATCAATCAACGAGCGCTTATCAAACCTGGACTCTAGACTTTCACTAATCGAAGTACTGCACAAAGAATTTCAAAACCTCCGCCACAGCCTGGAATACAGTCAACAGCAAGTCGATTCACTCACAGAAGAAAATAAATCACTGAAAAGCTCCGTGGACACACTCACTGCAAAACTTTCAACTGTAAACACTCAACTTACCTCCGTCATCACCGAGAACAAAGCCATGCAAGAAACCATCCTGGATATACAGTCACGCAGTATGAGAGACAATTTAATCTTCTCCGGCATTCCCGAATCACCCACCGAAGACCCCGAAAAATCTGTTAAGGACTTCCTGGTTAATCAGCTCAAACTTACACCGGAGACTGTGGAGCACATCACTTTCCATCGCGTTCACCGTTTAGGACAGAAACACATCAACTCCACCCGTTCCCGCCCCATCATCGCCAAATTTGAACATTTCAAACAAAAAGTACTGGTTCAGCGACAAGGACGGCAGCTCAAAGGGACTCATTACGGACTCAACGACCAATATCCACAAGAGATCATCCGCAGACGTAAGCTACTTTTCCCCATCCGCAAGACAATGATCAACCAAGGTAAAAAAGCAATCATCACAGTGGACAAATTATACATTGATGGACAATTATTTAGAGACAAAGACACTACTCCCTGGCTTTACTGATTATTGATAATAGCAATGTAACATTTCCAATCCGTTTATACTCAATTTATACTCAATTCATAATCCCCATATTCTTTTATTAAATCACTTGCACCACGCACGCACATTGTACTCTAAATGCACCTAAATAACCTTGCTCAATGTTTATATGTTCTGTTGTTGGTTATAGGTATCTATGTTTTCCCTGTTTTATTTGTCATTTGTTGTTATAGATTTACACACACACACACACTCAACCGCATTCACATCCACACACACAGATTTATACTCACACAAGGTAACTATGAAATATACAATATAGGTTCATGCATTTGAAGTTCATAACTTGGAATATTCGTGGAGTTGGTTCACTAACAAAAAAAAATAAAGTTTTAAATTACCTACAAAATACACAAGCAGATATATGTCTAATACAGGAAACACACCTCTCACAATATACACAAAATAGCTTAAAAACTACACATTTCAACCACTGTTTTTCCTCCCACTATAATTCAAAACAAAGAGGAGTATGCATCTTAATAAACAAAAAAATACAGTTTAACCACCATACAACCATTTCCGATCCTGAAGGCCGTTTTATCATTATTAACATTTCAATCAATAATAATCCAATCACAATTGGCAACATCTATGGACCAAACTCTGATGATTCCTCCTTCTTTGCAAATTTCTTCTCCTCTCTTTCAAACATTTCCAACGGTCCAATAATTATAGGGGGAGACTATAATACTGTAATCAATCCATCATTTGACAGGTCAAAACATACAGGTAAATCTCCGCAATCCTCCAAAACAATAAAGCAGTTCATGAGTGATTTTGGTCTTTGCGATGGTTGGAGGCTACAACACCCACTCGCCAGAGAATACACCTTTTATTCTAACGTTCACCAAACCTACTCCCGCATTGATTTCTTTCTAGCCAGTAATTCAATCATACCAAATATTTTAGAAACCAAAATACATCCGATCACTATCAGTGACCACTCCCCGGTAACTCTCACATGGAACCCATCTGCAATACAGAAGCACCCCACCAGATGGCGTTTTAATATATCACTATTGAAAGATCCAGAATTTGACAGTTACTTCAAAAGAGAGTGGACATCCTTCCTTGAAATAAATGACTCTCCAAAGTCGTCAGCATCACTGCTCTGGGAAACATGGAAAGTAGTTTTACGGGGGAAAATTATATCATATTCAGTACATAAAAAGAAAAAGGACAGAGAAAAAGAAGCACAACTGGAAGAAAGAATAAAAGAACTAGAAATTTTACACGCAAATAATCAATCAGAA